GACCCTAAACCCTAAGCCCTAAGCCCTAGACCCTAAGCCCTACCTAAACCCTAAAGCCGAAACCCTAAACCCTAAACCCTAAACCCTAAGAGCCTGATAAGGGAACCTAAACCCGAAAAATGGTAGTCAGAGGCCGAGCCATGTCTCCCAAGAAAGGCACCTTACCCTGGGAGATGTCGAAGTAGCCGTCTTCACACTTTGGCGCGACCGTCTCCTTCGCACAGCTTTAGGGTTTAGGGTTTAGGGTTTAGGGTTTAGGGTTTAGGGTTTAGGGTTTAGGGTTTAGGGTTTAGGGTTTAGGGTTTAGGGTTTAGAGGTTAGGGGTTTAGGGTTAGGGGTTTAGGGTTTAGGGTTTAGGGTTGAGGGGTTTAGGGTTGAGGGTTTAGGGTTTAGGGGTTTAGGGTTTAGGGTCTAGGGTTTAGGGTTTAGGGCTTAGGGTTTAGGGTTCGGGAGTTATCATGAGATTCTGCCTTGGGCCCTAAGGTTGTACCCTTGGGTCCCCAACCCTTTTTAAAGATCCTCTACGGGAATATCAGTTGGGATGCTCCCCCTTTTACTAACAGCCCATAAATAGGGATTATAGCACCCCTTCTACTATTATCCCTATTCAGACTGTTAGTATAAGGGGGAATGTCCCAAAATATGAGGGCCATATTAAAGGAGCATATCCACGGGGGTTCGAGTAGGAGGAGAGGTCTGGGGATGAGGCCAGTGGAAGGTCAGGGGTGTTTAGGGTTTAGGGTTTAGGGCTTAGGGTTTAGGGTTTAGGGTTTAGGGTTTAGGGTTTAGGGTTTAGGGTTTAGGGTTTAGGGTTTAGGGTTTAGGGTTTAGGGTTTAGGGTTTGGGGTTTAGGGTTTAGGGTTTAGGGTTTAGGGTTTAGGGTTTAGGGATTACGGTCAAGGATGTAGGGGTTCAGGTGCTCAGGGTTCAGGGGCTTGGTCAGGCGCAGTATCAGATAAGGCACCATCGAGTTCACCGGCACGGGCGGCTCCTGCTTCCCTAAACCCTAAACCCTAAACCCTAAAAAACTAAACCCAACAGCAAAGAGTACGGATTGTAGTATTTCAAGGGTCCCCCTATTTCTGGGAAATATAGAGGGCCCCCAACCCCTACCCTAAGGCCTAAGAGTACAGATATACAGAGATTATGAGCGGATGATATCAAGAATATTTTGGGCTCCCGTAACGGTGACGTTGAGGGGGGGGGTAGGTCAGCGGGCGGAAGTACTTCCTAACCCTAAGCTCCGGTGCTCAAAGCTGTAAGTGTCTGACCTTTAACCTTGAGGAAATGCCTACCCTAAACCCTAAACCCGAAACCCTAAACCCTAAACCCTACACCCAAAACCCTAAACCCTAAACCCTGAGCCTTGAACCTTCAGCCCGGAAGCCCCAGCCCCGAAGGCTCGAACCGGGGCCCCAACGCCGTCACACTCAAACAGTTTTAGGGTTTAGGGTTTAGGGTTTAGGGTTTTCGCTGAACACGAGGTTGTGCACCCGAACATGCTCCTCCCTGTCTGCCGATTGTTTATCGTCTAGGCTTTAAGGGCATTGATTGCAGCAACACGAACCGAAGGGAAGAGCCTCCTTCTGCTGATGCGTGAAACCTACGACCTACATGCTAAAATTTCACCCTTCAACTGCAAAACGACAGTAGCCCCTAAACCCCTAAACCCTGAACCCCCTCAAAACTCAACCCCCTGAACCCCCTAACCCGAAACCCCAAATCCTTAACGTAGGGTTTAGGAGTTTTAGGGATTGGGTTTGGGGGTTTACCTCCCAAACCCCCTCAAACCCTAAACCCTAAACCCGAAATCCTACACCCTCCCTTGGGTGCCCCTCCCATACTTCCTCCTGGGCCCTGCGGGAGGTGGCGCCGCGCAAGGCAAGCCCTGGAAGAAGGCCGGGTGCTTTTGTCAAAGGGCTTGGTTGTTCGGGGTTTAGGGTTTAGGGTTTAGGGTTTAGGGTTTAGGGTTTAGGGTTTGGGGTTTGGGGCTTGGGGGTTTGGGGGTTTAGGGGTTTGGGGGTTTGGGGCTTAGGGGCTTGCAGAAATTTCCAGGGGTTAGGGCTTAGGGAAGCTTCGTTTGCGAGGGAAGTGTTAAAGGAATGCGGCTCGAAACTTAAAGCGTTGGCAATGCTAAACCCAAAGCCCAAAACCCTAGTAGGACTGCCGGGGCTTAGGGATTAGGGTTAGGATTGCGGTCAAGGAAAGGAATAAGGGTTTGAGGGTTCTGTGTGTTGGGCTTATACTTCCAGCCATACCCACCCCGCCGCGCCTGTAGAGCCCTGAACCCCATACCCAACCCTGCGCAAACCCTCAAAACCCTCAACCCTGAAACCGTAAAGTCCCAAAAAGCACTACTCTCTCTCTCTCACTTACACACACTGGAGTGTTCTTTCGATTTTCGACGCTGAGGTCGCCGTGCATCGTCAGACCGAGTTGCTTGAAATGCGTGCTGATGCTAGAGGGCGTTAGTTGACAGCAGTGACTGTTTCAGCAATGCACAGCGCGATGATACATGATGCAACTCAAATCTGTGCAGGTAATTACGCACTTGGACGTCTCCAAGTGTATCAGCCATCAAACTGAGCCCTCATCGCTGGGCACCCTGCTCAGTTGATGGGGATGCGCCCCTGCATGTTACAACAATTCTCCCTCGTGCAGTTCGGGAGTGCCACACACACACACACACACCCTGGACCCCCGGACACCTCGCCGGAACAACTGACCCCGCCTTAACCCTTGAAAGCCTGGACCCTGAACCCCAAAACCCCTCAGACCCTAAACCCTCAACCCTAAACCCTGAACCCCAACCCTAAACAAGACCTTGGCGGCCTTCTTCTGTGGCCGCGCCCTCAGGGGAGAACCCGTGCATGCGAGGCTCATGCGCTACGTGGCTTGCACATTTAGGGCTTCTAGGTTCTGGGCTTGGGTTTGGGGCTTGAGGGTTCATAGACTTATACACGTAAAACCCTAAACCCTACACCCTAAACCCTAAACACTAAACTAACCCAGGGCTTGCAAGGCTACAGGGCTTATGCAGGGCTGACAGGGCTTCTAGAGCCTTGAGAGGTTGGAGGTGGCTCCTTTGGTTACAGACAGCTCAACCCTACTGTAAACCTCAAGCCCTGAGACCCTAAAACCCTGACCCCAAAACCCTAAACCCTCAAACCGAAACCCTACACCCTTTTTATGGGGTACATTGGGGAGTTCAACTTAACTATACAACCTAGGAAACCCTTGAAGAACAAGCGCTTTCATGGGGTAGGACTTAGGGTTTAGGGTTACGGTGAAGGCTTAGGGGCTTTAGGAGATTCGGGCCCAAACCACGAATTCTAAACCCCCAAAACCGCCCCTCAGTCTTTGTCTGGAGCGTGCGTCATTGTGGCAGGGGTTTCGGTGACAAAGGGTAGGGATAAGGGTCGAGGGCTTGAGGTTTGGGGGGGTTTAGTGTTTTCGGGAGCCCCGAAAATCTCGAAAAAAGAACGCAAACCCTAAACCTCAACCCTAAGCCCTAAACGCTAAAGTCCAGTTCCAAGTATCTGCTGCGCAGGCCCAGACCGCCAAGTAGAGCAGCAACATGAGTCGAGCACACAAAGCGCGAGGCGCCCCGGGACACCCAAAGCCTTAAGTCAATTAACCCTAGCAGCTCAAAGCCTCCGTTTTGGTCTAGGGCTTTTAGGTTTAGGGTTTAGGGTTTAGGGTTTAGGGTTTAGGGTTTAGGGTTTGGGGCTTTTAGGTTTAGGGTTTTAGGGCTTTTGGATTCTGGCTGCAGGGCTCTTAGGGGCCTTGAGGTGCTTGTAGAGCTTGGAGTCTCTTTACGTTTTTGGCGTCGAGTCGAGGGTTTCCTAACCCATACAACCCTTTAACCCTAGAACACTAAACCCTAAACGCATGAAACCCAAAACCCGAAACCCTGAACCCCAAACCCTAAACCCTAGAACCCTAAACCGGGTGCTGTACCACCCTTGCCGGCGCACTCGAGCCAAGCGACTGAAGTCGAGGCCAACCGGTTCAAGGTTTAGGGTTTAGGGTTTAGGGTTTAGGGTTTCGGGTTTAGGGTTTAGGGTTTAGGGTTTAGGGTTTAGGGTTTAGGGTTTAGGGTTTAGGGAGTCTTTCGGGTTTGCGGGTTTGGGTTCTAGGGGTTGTTAGGGCGGGGGTTGCCACGAAAACTTGGCAAGTAGATTGACTTTGCAGGATGGCAAGTACCCCGGCTTGGGTCATGATAAGCTATAAACTGAAATATGCCAAACTGAGCCCGAAATTATGAACCCTAAAACGCCTAAACCCTAAACCAGAACCAAGTCTGAGGAGGAGAAGGGGCACGCTAAAAAATGCCGAGTTGCAGGGCTGCTTCAAACCTACCACATCCCCACAAGCTCGAGAAAAAAACCCTCCCTTCTCCAAAACCAAGGAAGCAAAGAAGGCTACGCGTTATTATTCCTACTGATTAAATATAAAACTCCAAAGTTTAGAGTTCATCCACTGGCTAAGTACGCACCTACCACTTTAGGGTTTCGAGGTTTTACGGGCTTGCACGCTGAAGGGCTGAAGCAAACCCTAAACCCTAAACCCTAAACCCCAAACCCTAAAAACCTTCGCCAGAACATTGGGCCAGGCTTATGCGGGACTGGAAACCTAACGCTAAAATCTACCTGGAGGTTCAGGGCACTTATCACCCCAATTCTCATTGTAATTATAAGGCCCCCTAAGTCCCCTAAGTAGGTTTTAAGGAGGTTATAAATACCCATGTCACAAGAGTTTCGAGGCTCATACTGGTTGATAAAGGAGCTTCAGTGTTTAGGGTTTACGGCTGAGGGTTTAGGGTTTAGCAGGCTGAGTAGGAGGGCCAAGGTTTGGGGTCTAAGGGGGCTAGGGCTTAGGGTTTAGGGTTTGGGGTTGAAGATGAGGGTTTCCAGGGTTCAGATACTAGAAAAAAATCAATAAGGATGTTTGAAGTACCATTCTTGTTTTACCTTAGGCTCATGCCTCGGAATCCCGTGCTAAGCTGAAGAGGCGAGCCTTCTTCGCTTCATGGCCGGTTCTGAAAGCAACTGCACGGCTTCGGCATGGCCCTTGCAATCTGCCATCAGAACCGTCAGGGCTGTGAGGCCGCTGTCGGTGGTAATGTCCGTGGCGGCACCAGCCTCCACCAGCACACGCATGACTTCAACGTGGCCATTGGCGGATGCCGTCATCAGCGCTGTGTAGCCATTGCTGGTAGTCATGTCCCTGTCGGCACCAGCGCCCGTCAGCAAACCTACGGTTTCAACGAAACCATTGCGTGCGGCGAGCATCAGAGCTGTGTCGCCACAATTGCCGACCAAGTCCTTTTCAGCGCCGGCCTGCACCAGCAAGCGCACGAGTTCGACACGGCCATATTGAGCAGCGAACATCAGGGCTGTGTGACCATCGTTGTCGGCAAAGTCTTTTCCGGCGCCGGCCTCCACCAGCAAACGTGCGACCTCAACATGGCCCTCTGCAACTGCCATCGTCAGAGCCGTGCGGCCATCTGTGTCGACCATGTCCTTTTCAGCTCCGGCCTCCAACAGCAAACGCACGAAGTCGACACGGCCATATTGAGCAGCGAACATCAAGGCTGTGTCCCCATCGTTATCGGCAAAGTCTTTTCCGGCGCCGGCCTCCACCAGCAAACGCGCGACCTCAACATGGCCCTCTGCAACTGCCATCGTCAGAGCCGTGCGGGCATCTGTGTCGACCATGTCCTTTTCAACTCCGGCCTCCACCAGCAAGCGCACGAGTTCGACACGGCCATATTGAGCAGCGAACATCAAGGCTGTGTGACCATCGTTGTCGGCAAAGTCTTTTCCGGCGCCGGCCTCCACTAGCAAACGTGCGACCTCAACATGGCCCTCTGCAACTGCCATCGTCAGAGCCGTGCGGCCATCTGTGTCGATCATGTCCTTTTCAGCGCCGGCCTCCACCAGCAAACGCACGACTTCGACACGGCCATATTGAGCAGCGAACATCAAGGCGGTGTCCCCATCGTTATCGGCAAAGTCTTTTCCGGCGCCGGCCTCCACCAGCAAACGCGCGACCTCAACATGGCCCTCTGCAACAGCGGTTGTCAGAGCCGTGCGGCCATCTGTGCCGACCATGTCCATTTTAGCGCCGGCCTCCACCAGCAAACGCACGAGTTCGACACGGCCATATTGAGCAGCGGTCCTCAAGGCGGTGTCACCATCCTTGTCGGCAAAGTCTTTTCCGGCGCCGGCCTCCACCAGCAAACGCGCGACCTCAACATGGCCCTCTGCAGCTGCCATCGTCAGAGCCGCGCGGGCATCTGTGTCGACCATGTCCTTTTCAGCTCCGGCCTCCACCAGCAAGCGCACGAGTTCGACACGGCCATATTGAGCAGCGAACATCAGGGCTGTGTGACCATCGTTGTCGGCAAAGTCTTTTCCGGCGCCGGCCTCCACCAGCAAACGTGCGACCTCAACATGGCCCTCTGCAACTGCCATCGTCAGAGCCGTGCGGCCATCTGTGTCGACCATGTCCTTTTCAGCGCCGGCCTCCACCAGCAAACGCACGAATTCGACACGGCCATATTGAGCAGCGAACATCAAGGCTGTGTCACCATCCTTGTCGGCAAAGTCTTTTCCGGCGCCGGCCTCCACCAGCAAACGTGCGACCTCAACATGGCCCTCTGCAACTGCCATCGTCAGAGCCGCGTGGCCATCTGTGTCGACCATGTCCTTTTTGGCGCCGGCCTCCACCAGCAAACGCACGAGTTCGACACGGCCATATTGAGCAGCGAACATCAAGGCTGTGTGACCATCGTTGTCGACAAAGTCTTTTCCGGCGCCGGCCTCCACCAGCAAACGTGCGATTTCAACATGTCCCTCTGCAACTGCCATCGTCAGAGCCGTGCGGGCATCTGTGTCGACCATGTCCTTTTCAGCTCCGGCCTCCACCAGCAAGCGCACGAGTTCGACACGGCCATATTGAGCAGCGAACATCAAGGCTGTGTCCCCATCGTTATCGGCAAAATCTTTTCCGGCGCCGGCCTCCACCAGCAAACGTGCGACCTCAACATGGCCCTCTGCAACAGCGGTTGTCAGAGCCGTGCGGCCATCTGTGCCGACCATGTCCATTTTAGCGCCGGCCTCCACCAGCAAACGCACGAGTTCGACACGGCCATATTGAGCAGCGGTCCTCAAGGCGGTGTCACCATCCTTGTCGGCAAAGTCTTTTCCGGCGCCGGCCTCCACCAGCAAACGCGCGACCTCAACATGGCCCTCTGCAACTGCCATCGTCAGAGCCGCGCGGCCATCTGTGTCGACCATGTCCTTTTCAGCGCCGGCCTCCACCAGCAAACGCACGACTTCGACACGGCCATATTGAGCAGCGAACATCAAGGCTGTGTGACCATCGTTGTCGGCAAAGTCTTTTCCGGCGCCGGCCTCCACCAGCAAACGCGCGACCTCAACGTGGCCCTCTGCAGCAGCGGTCGTCAGAGCCGTGCGGCCATCTGTGTCGACCATGTCCTTTTCAGCGCCGGCCTCCACCAGCAAACGCACGAATTCGACACGGCCATATTGAGCAGCGAACATCAAGGCTGTGTCCCCATCGTTATCGGCAAAATCTTTTCCGGCGCCGGCCTCCACCAGCAAACGTGCGACCTCAACATGGCCCCCTGCAACAGCGGTTGTCAGAGCCGTGCGGCCATCTGTGCCGACCATGTCCATTTTAGCGCCGGCCTCCACCAGCAAACGCACGAGTTCGACACGGCCATATTGAGCAGCGGTCCTCAAGGCGGTGTCACCATCCTTGTCGGCAAAGTCTTTTCCGGCGCCGGCCTCCACCAGCAAACGCGCGACCTCAACATGGCCCTCTGCAACTGCCATCGTCAGAGCCGCGCGGCCATCTGTGTCGACCATGTCCTTTTCAGCGCCGGCCTCCACCAGCAAACGCACGACTTCGACACGGCCATATTGAGCAGCGAACATCAAGGCTGTGTGACCATCGTTGTCGGCAAAGTCTTTTCCGGCGCCGGCCTCCACCAGCAAACGCGCGACCTCAACGTGGCCCTCTGCAGCAGCGGTCGTCAGAGCCGTGCGGCCATCTGTGTCGACCATGTCCTTTTCAGCGCCGGCCTCCACCAGCAAACGCACGAATTCGACACGGCCATATTGAGCAGCGAACATCAAGGCTGTGTCCCCATCGTTATCGGCAAAATCTTTTCCGGCGCCGGCCTCCACCAGCAAACGTGCGACCTCAACATGGCCCCCTGCAACAGCGGTTGTCAGAGCCGTGCGGCCATCTGTGCCGACCATGTCCATTTTAGCGCCGGCCTCCACCAGCAAACGCACGAGTTCGACACGGCCATATTGAGCAGCGGTCCTCAAGGCGGTGTCACCATCCTTGTCGGCAAAGTCTTTTCCGGCGCCGGCCTCCACCAGCAAACGCGCGACCTCAACATGGCCCTCTGCAACTGCCATCGTCAGAGCCGCGCGGCCATCTGTGTCGACCATGTCCTTTTCAGCGCCGGCCTCCACCAGCAAACGCACGACTTCGACACGGCCATATTGAGCAGCGAACATCAAGGCTGTGTGACCATCGTTGTCGCCAAAGTCTTTTCCGGCGCCGGCCTCCACCAGCAAACGCGCGACCTCAACGTGGCCGTCTGCAGCAGCGGTCGTCAGAGCCGTGCGGCCATCTGCGTCGACCATGTCCTTTTCAGCGCCGGCCTCCACCAGCAAACGCACGACGTCGACCTGGTCATCATGAGCAGCAAACATCAAGGCTGTGTCCCCATCGTTGTCGGCAAAGTCCTTGTCGGCGCCGGCCTCCACCAACAAATGCAGAATTTCGATGTGAGAGCGCTGGGCTGCACACAAAAGCGACGTTCGACCAGCTACCTTGGGGATTCACTCACATGAGATTGGGATCATAAGGTCCGTACGACGCTAAGTAGTCCTTGTCGAAGTATACGAGCCATGAAACCCTAGAATCGTAAACCCCAAACCCCTTTACCCCAAACCCTAAACCCGTTGGGGGGCGGCGCTTAAAGCCCTTCGACCTCGATGGCGCAAGCCGACCCAGGTCGTTCGCACGCCTCGCACAGCTCGGAGGTCGTAGCACCCACGATCGGCCCAGGTTCTCCTCGGGACCAGCACTTCCCTTTAACAACGAACATACCGAAACCCATAAATGTGGGAGTGGCTGCCTGGGACCTTCCTGGGACCTTGTGGGACCACCTGAGACCCGCCCTTGAATTTTCCTGAAAACTTCGAGGACCTTTGCGAACCCCCCCCCTAAAACCCCCTGACACGAGACGGAAGAAGTTTGGGCGGTTGGGCTTGAGTTTGGGCCTAAACCCCAAAAAGGAAGAGGTTTGGGCGGTTTTGACGCCTGAGACAGCGTGGGGTGGGAGAAAGGTGTTAGGGTGGCCCTCCACGATCGGGCCATGGCCGCCCTTCGCATTGCTCGATGCCTTCAAGGCTCTGCTGAAAACCGTCACATTTACAGCTTGCACGCCATTCTACAGGAAAACCTAAACCCTAAACCCTAAATTCTAAAACCATAAACCCTAAACCTCCTGATAGGCTTGATTGAGTCTGCAAGGCCAAGGTACGGCCACATTTGGGTCCAGGGGAAGCTGTAGCATGGATTCGACCTCAACGGCTTCCGGTGCTTTGGGCCCTAGAAGTCCTCACCAGGTGTCCTAATATGGTTTAGGGTTTAGGGTTTAAGGTTTAGGGTTTAGGGTTTAGGGCTTAGGGTTTAGGGTTTAGGGTTTAGGGCTTAGGGTGTGTCAGGGGAAGGCGCGCGCTCGGGCGTGAAACAACCCGGGCCGCGCGCTCGCGTTGTCTGTCAACCCACCCCGGCCACCCAAACTATACTCTATTAGGGTATAGGGTTTCTTGAAATGGTTCTATTGTGCACCCATGCTTGCTCTTATGCTTTTAAAGTTGCGGTGTTTTGGTTTAAGCTGGGGTTGGGGGTAGCCTCGGCCTTTGCATATTTCAATTATTGAGGTTGCTCACAAAAACTCGAAATTGAGCAAGACCCCCTCGCCGGCCCCCTGACTGACGTTGTCGTAGAAAAGGCCGATGTCCGTTGGCCTGTGCTGGACAGACGGGGAGGCATAATCCTCAACTTTCCGTTTCTCTTTTCGCTTGGGCGCTCGGGCTGTAAGGCTCTCGGCCGAGCGTTCGGGGTCTGTCGCTCGACGGAAGCGAGCCCTCACTCAGTTTAGGGTTTAGGGTCTAGGGTTTGGGGTTTGGGGTTTGGGGTTTGGGGTTTGGGGTTTGGGGGTTTGGGGTTTGGGGTTTGGGGTTTGGGGTTTGGGGTTTGGGGTTTACGGCTTCGTGATGTTTAGAGTTTAGTTCAGGGTTTAGTTTAGGGTCTGGGGTAGGAGCATTCATCTTTACAATGATCGAGGTGATGACGGTGATGATGGTTGTCATAGCGAATGATCACAATAATGAGAGGCAAGAACAAAACCGGATGAGGACGAGGCCGAGAAAAGGGAGAAGACGGACGACGATAGCGGCGACGACGATGAGGAAAAGCGTGCGATTTTTCATCAAGGGAGGGAGGTTCAAGGGCAAGGTTCCCAAATACTCCCTTCTACTCCCTAAGGCTCCCTAAACTTCCCTAAGGTTTCTTAGGTACCTCCCCCCCCATGAACCCCTCTCTCTTGAGAGCCCTATAAATATTTCACATCGAAGTGATGTCGCAGTCAAGCTGTAAGCATCCACCTCTTTCACCGAACCATCTCTGGCGGCAGCTACGAGCTCGTCCGCTTGTCCCGGGGACGGGTTGGACAAAGGCAGCACCTCGGCTGCACTTGTGAGTGGGTGAAAAACTTAACTTTTCGCTACGTGCAAATCCCAAACCCTAAACCCCAAACCCCAAATCTCAGGTCCTAAACCCTAAATCCGAAGCCCTAAACTACGAATTGCTCAAGAAACCACCCCCCCCCCCCCCAAGAAAAACAAAAATCTTCCTCAACGATTCGTATCTTTCAAGCAAGTAGCTGTCAACCCCTAAAGCCCGAACCCTTAGGGGCAAGGGATCCCTCAACTACTGCTTGCTTAAGAGCCCTCAGAACAATATGAAGTACCAATCCCTCCATTGCCCCAACAAGGGCTTAATAAGGTTGAGGGATTTAGGGTTTAGGGTTTAGGTTTAGGGTTTAGGGTTTAGGGTTTAGGGTTTAGGGTTTAGGGTTTAGGGTTTCGGGTTTAGGGTTTAGGGTTTAGGGTTTAGGGTTTAGGGTTTAGGGTTTAGGGTTTAGGGTTTAGGGTTTAGGGTTTAGGGTTTAGGGTTTAGGGTTTTTCTCTGGTGGCTCTTAAGCAAGTAGTAGTAAAGGGCTACAGATCGCAGAGGTGCAACGAGTTCCAACTCCTGGGCCGACTTGAACTCCTCGGCATCATCCAGACTCCTTAGTTGCCGAGTTCAGAAGCCCCAAACCGTAAACCCTGAACCCTAAACCCTAAACCCTAAACCCTAAACCCTAAACCCTAAACCCTGAACCCTAAACCCTAAACCCTAAACCCTAAAAAGTGTACACTTTCAGTTCTAGAGGGGATACGATGGTATCCCAAAAAAATGTGTAAAGTGTGCTCACGCAGCTACGAAGATTCAGCTTGGAGCTCCCTAGGATGAGCCTCTGCCTCTCAGGGCTTGAGGGTTTTTCGGGTGTTTAGGTTTTTTTTGCGGGTATGGGGTTTTTGGGTTTAGGGTTCAGGGCTGTAGGGTTTAAGGGGTTTAGGCTTTTCAGTTTTTCTTTTTTTTTGCGGGCTTGAGGGGTTTTAGGGGTTTCTAGGTTTAGGCCTTAGGGCTTTAGGGCTTTAGGGTTTTAGGGTTTTAGGGTTCTAGGGTTTTAGGGTTTTCGGGTGTTAGGGTCCCCCTGAAGCCTTGGCCCTTGCAAGGTCGGGGACCTTATCCCTAAACCCTTCCAGGGACAGTTCTCGGACCTAAATCCCAAATTCCCGAAACCCTAAACCCTAAACCCTACACCCTAAACCCTAAACCCGAAACCCTAAACCCTAAACCCTTGCCTGAAGCGCGGGGGCAAACCATGCAGCCGGTGCAAGCGGCGTTTCACTTCCCTCACGCAGCTCACCTCTTTCAGGTTCGTGGTATTGAGGGTTTAGGGTTTAGGGTTTAGGGTTTAGGGTTTAGGGCTTAGGGTTCCAAGCAGCTCACCTCCTCCACGGGGATGGCGGCCACCTCCTCGCCCGAAATCATGCGGATGTGCAGCATCCCGGTCGGAGAAGAGGTTACTAAAACCAAGAGGAGCCTAGGAAGTAAAAAAAAGGGTTTAGGGTTTAGGGTTTAGGGTTTAGGGTTTAGGGTTTAGGGTTTAGGGTTTAGGGTTTAGGGTTTAGGGTTTAGGGTTTTGGGTTTAGGGTTTAGGGTTTAGGGTTTAGGGTGGCCTAGGAATTCAAAGGGTGCCCTTTTTTGGTTTCAAGAGGCTGAGAAGGGAGCCTGAACCCCAAGAAAAAATGAAATTAAGAGCCTACTCTGGGTCCTAGGTTGGGTCGACCTTTCGCGCTCAGCAAAGGCTGGTTAGAGCCGAGATGCTACTCTGGGTCCTAGTAGCCCTAAACCCTAAACCCGAAACCCGGAAGGTTCAGGGTTTAGGGTTTAGGGTTTAGGGTTTAGGGTTTAGGGTTTAGGGTTTAGGGTTTAGGGTTTAGGGTTTAGGGTTTAGGGTTTAGGGTTTAGGGTTTAG